CCTGTAATTTGTGCTTTTCTTCCCATGTTTAAAACAATCCATTCTATCTTTCAATGTCTTGAATTCCTCACCATTTAGAAGTTCTGTAACTACACTATTTATTCCCTCTTTTTGGTTTGTAGTTGTCCTCATTTACCAACTGATGTCTCTGGTTCCCTTTTTATAGTCTTGTAAGTTTATTTTATTTTGGATACTTCTACAGCTGGGTTGGTTTCTGGATTATGTCATCATGTGTGTTAATCATCAGTTGTTATTTGCTGTTGTTGGTTCTCTGTCCAAAGGACTCCCTTTAGCATCTTTTATAAAGTTGATCTGGTTTTAACAAATCCCCTTAATTTCTGCTTATCTAGAAATCTTGTAATTTCACTCTCATATTTGAGAGACAGTTTTGCTAGATATATAATTCTTGATTGAAAATTTTTTTCTTTTAGGGTTATATATATATATCATCCCATTGCCTTCTTGCCTGCATGATTTCTGTGGAGAAATCAGAGCTTAGTCTTATTGGTTGCCCTTTGTAGGTAACTTTTTATTTATCCCATGCTGCTTTCAGGATTCTTTCTTTGTCTTTAGTTTTGGTGAGTTTGATGATGGTATATCTTGGTGTTTTTCTTTTGGGGTCTGTCCTGTTTGGGGTTTGTTGAACTTCTTGAATGGATATATTCTCATCTTTCATCCTATTAGGGAAATTCTCTTCCCAAAAATCTTTGACAATTTTCTCTGTGATTTTATCTGTTTTTTCCTGTTCTGGGTTATTCCTCTTGATGGTACCCCACATGAATCTTAGGGTTTCTTCATTATGTTTTGATCCTTTGTCTACTTGATCCCTTAACAAAGTAGTATTGAGGTATTTGTCTTCAACCTCATTAATTCTGCCTTCCATTGATTCGATTCTACTCTTTTGCCCATTCAATGTGTCATCTATTTCTGAAATCTTAGTATTAATCATCTGGATTTCTGTTTGTTGTTTTTGTATCATTTCTAATTTTTTGTTAATTTTATTAATTTTTTTCTTGTATTTTCCTAAATTGTTCTAGAGTTTTGTCTGTGTTTTCCTTGATCTTGTCAGTGTTTTCCTTGATATGTCTCTCAATCCATTGAAGCTATCCAAATGAAATTCTTTTGAATTCCTTATTAGGGAGTTCCAATGCTACTTCTTCCTCAGAGATGTTTTCTGGGTTTATATCCTGGTCCTTTGTTTCTACTACTTTATCTTGCTTTATTGTGTGGACTGTGATGGTCTGTTGTCTCTGAGACATTGTCATGTTGCTGAATTTATGTTTAATTTGTGGTTGTGTATTGGTGTGATTCATGCAAGATTTTTTTCTCTTTATTTTGTTTTTATATATCTGTATGAATAAGTACTCTGCTCTTCTATTTGCTGCTTGTTAGCACTTAGGCACTCACCATCTGTCTCCTGATATGATAGAGAATGCAAGTATGTGCACAGATCTGTTAGCTATTTGTAAAGAGCAGTTGAGAGTGAGTTGAGCTGGCATTGACCACTGTCTATCATTGGTCAATTAGTGCAGAAGCAAGTAGTGACCCTCACTCAGTGGATGGGGCTGCAGGAGGTGCAGTTAGGTGTGGGTTGTGTGGGAATGGTTGCTGTTTCCCACTCAGTTATACAAAAAAAAAACAAAACAAAAAACAAAAAACAAAAAACAAAAAACAAAAACAAAAAAACCTACCAAAAAACCAAAAACGAGGATGAAAAACTCAAACTGAATTTAAAAAAAAACAACAGAAATACAACAAATAAGAAGAAAAATTTCAGAATATATTAAAAAAGAATAAAAGAAAGATAATGCAGAGATAGATAGATAGATAGAGAAAGCCACAACAAGGGATGGGAAGAATCAAAAGAAAGATAAAAGAAGGGAACTGGGAAAAGGGAAGAGAAAAGAAGGAGAAGAAGGAGGAAGGAGAGGGAGAGGAGGAGAAGAGGAAGAAAGGAGGAAGAAGAAGGAGAAGGCAGAGGAGGGGAGGGGGAGGAGAAAAGAATCAGGGAAAGGAAAGAGGGAAAAAAAGAAAGGGAAAGATAAAATGAATAATTTTAAAACAAACAAAAACAAAACTGTGGGGGGTGAGGCACTGCATATAGATCCTGCCAGGGCATAGGATAGAGCCCCTGCAGGTCAAGAAGGTGGATGGAGGTAGGGAGATGGCCTCTCCCCTGTTCACCAAGAGGGTGCAAGCCACAGGAGTAACAAGGGGAATATTGTACCTCTTCAGTTGTCAGTCTCCATCTCCAGGGCAGTTGCCCGTGCTGTCCTTGGCAGGCAGAGTGCCCACTCCTAGGTTGCAGTCCAAGCAAGAACACCACCTGCATACACTCAAAATGTCTGCATCAGTTACTTAGAAACATCCAAAAATGGCTGTGCACTCAGGACAGCCACCAGCAGTCCACATGTCTGCTTGTCCCCTTCTCTCTGTTTTCCCTCTGGTTGCCAGGCACCAATGTAGTCCTTGCCCACACAGCCTTCGTGAACAGAGGTGATTCTTAGATTGCTATCAGGAAATACTCAAAATGGCTGTATCCTCAGGACAGCCAGCTCTGTTTGTCTCCTTACTCACTGTTTCATTCAGATTCTTCAAGTTAGTATTTAATCCACCTCTTTATCCTTCCCTTCAAAGCTCAGGGTTCCAGGATCATCTTCTGTATCAGTTTCAGTTGGTTTCTCTTTTGCTTTGTTGCAAAGGGTCTGTGTAGCGTGTCTGCCTATTCTTCCATCTTGTCAGAATTCCTGCAGCCATTTTTTAATTCAGTAATATTTTACTTGAATGGGATACTAACAGTATCGTTTGGTAATTTTCACATTCTGTTTGATCACCTTTCTTTGAAATGGGCACAGATATGGATCTCTTCCAGTTAGTTGGTCAGGGAGCTGCCTTTTAAATTTCTTGGCCTAAGTGATTGAGCACTTCCAGTGCTGCACCCATTTGTTGAAACATCTCAATGGGTATTTTGTCAATTTCTGGGGCCTTGTTTTTCACCAGTTCCTGTAGTGCTTGGACTTTTTCTTTCAATATCATTGATTCTTGTTCACATGCTACCTCCTGAAATGGTTGAATGTCAACCAGTTCTTTTTGGTACAGTGACTGGTTTTTCTTTCCATTTTCTTTTATGCTTCTTGCATTGTTCAAAATTTTGCCCAGAGGGTCCTTCAGTATTACAACTAGAGGCTTGAATTTTTTCTTCAATTCTCTCAGCTTGAGAAAAACCAAAACCAAGCATGTTCTTCCCCTTTGATTTTCCACCTCCAGGTTTTTGCACATTTCATTATAATACTTTGTCTTCTTGAGCTGCCCTTTCAAATCTGTTCAGCTGTTTTACTTCATCATTTCTTCCATTTGCTTTAGCTGCTCCCCATTCAGGAGCAAGTTTCAGAGTCTCTTCTGACATCCATTTTGGATGGAATTCTTGCCTGTCCAGAAGGTGGGTGGAGGTAAAGAATGGCCACACCTCCATTCACCAAGAGGGTGTGGGGTATAAGAATAACAAGGGGAATATCACACCTTTCTAGTTGTCAGCCTCCAGTGTGGTTGCCTGTGCTGTCCTCAGGAAGCAGAGCCTGTTCTTAGGTTTCTGGGATCAGAATGCTACTTGCAGATATTCAAAATGGCAGGGTCTTCAGGACAGCCAAAAGTCCACAGCTCAGTTTGTCTTCTTATTTGCTGTTTTCCTTTCTAGCCATCAGCTACCAGTGCAGTTGTCCATTTAGTCCTTGGTGAGGAGGGCTGATTCTTGGGTTGTTGCCCAGATCACAATGCCACTTGTAAATATTCAAACTGGCCATGCTATCAAGATAGCTGACAGGCCACAGCTCTGTTTGTTTCCTTATTCACTGTTTTCATTCAGGTTCTTCTACTAGTTGGTATTTAATCAGTTCTTTATCCTTCCCTTCAAAGCTCAGGGTTCCTGGATTATCTTTTGTATCTGTTTCAATTGGTTTGTCATTTCTTTGTTGAAGAGGGTCTATGTAGCTTGTCTGCCCATTCCACCATCTTGCCAGAAGTCCAAGATCCTTTTTCCAAATAAGGTCACATTCCCAAGTCCTTGAGGGTTAGGATGTGGACATATCTTTTTTTGGGCCACACCTCAACCCACTATTTATGGCCTCATCAATTGCATGCCAGAGCATAGTTCCCAGACCCTGCTCTATCTTTGAATCAGGACCACCTTTATGGAAACCAGCAGCTGGCCCAGCTAGTCTGTGTGCAAGGCAGTCTGACTTCCCAAATCATCCCTGAATGTGCATTTTGGATTCAGTACTTTGGCCCCAAAAATGGAAAATGAGCCACATGCTGATGGCCTCGAGTTTGAACCCTGGACTCTTCCTGGTCACCCTATGACAGGCTGCCCCAGATTCCTTGCTGACCCTACCTTTTCCCATCACAACCTGCAGAGTCCTCTTTGGTTTGTGGCTTTTTCTCTTCAATGACACTCAATGGCTGACTGAGTTAAATACAGAAAGTTATGTGAGCTCTAGGAGGTCTTAGGCCATAAAAAAACTCAGCCTTGCTTCCTTTACACATGAAATCAATGTAAATGTTCAATAAAGGGATGTTGAGTTTGAACTTGACTCCCATGGGTGGCGGGCCCATGGCCTTCGACCATCTGCCCTGGCAATCTTGGATGGCAGAAAGTTCTACCTGGTTACTTGATCCAGCTTGCACTGCCTTCGTGGCCAGGCAAGTCACTTTCCCTCTTTGGGCCTTAGTTTCCCCATCTTTAAGGGACTAGATGATCTGTAAAATCCCTCCCAGCATGACAGCTCTCTGATTCCCAGTGATTTGTGATCTGGGATGGAACCGGTGAGTTTGTACTACAGTTGCCTTTAATTTTCCTTTTGCAGCCGAGGGCATAACTATGGTTTATTAAATTCATACTTATCTTTCATCTGGGGAGCTTTTTGGTTAAAGCCATGTCATTAGTGAAATGAAACTGTTGCTGTTTTGGCAGCAGCTGCTGCAAGGTGGCCTGACTCTCTCTACAGCTGTCCTCTGTCTATGCTGGGAAGACCTGCGGCCTGTGTGGGAATTACAATGGCAACAAGGGTGATGACTTCCTCACTCCGGCTGGCCTGGTGGAATCCCTGGTGGAGGACTTCGGAAACTCCTGGAAGCTGCATGGGGACTGCCAGGACCTGCAAAAGCATGACAGTGACCCCTGTAGCCTCAACCCCCGCCTAAGTATGTGAGCCTGGTGGGAAAGGTGGTGCTCTGCAGAACCCTGAGGTCTCCCACATTCCAGTACATTGCAAAGGACAGTGTCCCCACTGGGGCTGCGGTGGTGTGAAGTTAGGAATTGGGTAGACCTTTGTTTATACCATCAGCCTTTGATTATCTGCATCTGGATCATTTATTCTTTGAAGTTGCCTTATTGAGCACCTTCTGTGGGCCAAACCTTAGGAAAGAAAAGCAAAACAATGTGGTTTCTGCCCTGGGACGTTCTCAGTCTATTGGATCAACAGCCACACAAACTCAGGCTAAAATTAATGTAAGACAAATGGGCCAAGGGTGGCCATTTGCAGATTCATCTGCAGCACTGCTACAGCCTTACATTAACTTCCCTCTTACCAAGGGATCACTGGGTTCTCTCCCCTTCTGTCAGTGGATGTTCTGGGATGCAGTATTTATTTGTTTAAAGCAAATATAATTAAGAAAGTAAATTGGCTACAGAAGAAAAAACACAATGACTCTCAGAGCCAACAGAAGTAGTTTTCGCAGTCTGCTGCTGAAGGAGAAGCTGGCATGGGGGATGTCAGAGCAGGAACCTTTTTGCTACTCTGGGACATGGGCATTAGCAGGTCCCTGCCATCCCAGGCTTGCTCTTCTCTCTCCCCACATAGCCAGGTTTGCAGAAGAGGCATGCGCTGTCCTGACGTCCTCCAAGTTCGAGGCCTGCCACCACGCTGTCAGCCCCCAGCCCTACCTGCAAAACTGCCACTATGACGTCTGCTCCTGCTCAGATGGCAGAGACTGCCTGTGCAATGCTGTGGGAAGCTACGCCTCGGCCTGTGCCCGGAAAGGCGTGAGCATCGCATGGCGGGAGCCTAGCTTCTGTGGTGGGTGCTCTCCCTGCACATTCCCCCTCCAGGCCACTAAGCCAAATCAGCTGCTGCTGCCCTGTTGCCCACCCCACTTGTCCTTTTCACAGGACTTTCTTGGCATAATTTCATTTGGAAGCAGGCCCAGGGCATTTTGACAGAGTTTGGGGTGTGCCAACAGTTCATTTGTAGCAGTTTCCCTTCCAGTTAACAGCAGTGCAGGGTGATGGGGACTGGCTCTCTTACAGGACTGTCTGGCTATTCTGGCCAACTCCCTGAGGGCAAGTTTGAACCTCCTACCTGGAGACTTAGAACCTTGAGTTTTCTGCTAAGCAGAGGTCTCCTGTGGCCAAATCAGGTTGTGGGTCTCAGATCCGGTGTCCCTGCATCCATTGAAAGTCTGATGGGGACAAAGAGAAATGCATACACAAATCCTTGCATGTAACTTCAGAGAAATCATTTGTGATCTCTCAGCCAGAATCTCTGCCATTATATAATGCATAAAGTCGAATATCATCCTGTCCCCAATTGACTTTAGATTCTAACTCTGCACTTAGATTCCCAGTGCCAGAGTTGGTATCTGCCCCACACTCTGGTCCCTTGAGTGGCTAGATTGTGCTCACTTTGTGTGTGTATGTTGTTATTATTACTCTGGGGATATTTACTGAGTGCCCAGTATGGTCAGGCAGGAACCATGATATAGAGCTTGAATTTTCCTTTTTGAAGCACAGATGGAAACTGCCTCCCTATTAGGTGCTTTTCATACTAACTGAAAGGATAGTTAGATTAGGGCAGGGACAACTGAAGAAGGCTTTCTGGAGAATGTGTAATTGACTATGGTTTTAAGAAAGGTGCTTTCTTGGCAGAAAGACATTGTTTCCAATGGTAGAATAATAGTGGTGAAGCATAGAGGTGGGGAAGTTATGGATAAACTGTAGTGGATATTTTGATTTTAGGAATGAAGTAGATACGTTTAGAGACTAAAATATAGGTGGTCCTAATAGAAGTGGGAAAATAGGAAAAGTAGAAGGAATTAATATCATATATTTGAAGAGAAGTTTCAGTTCTGGCACTCTAGAAGTGCCAATATTTGGGGTCTTATGAGCTAACTCATGTTTGAATCTATGTCATCTCATAAAAAAAGTAAAAAGAGGAACAGAGAAAGAAAATAAGGATTAAGGGAGCAAATACATAAATGCCTACAGTGTGCCCTCTCTCTCCTTTCAGCTCTGGGATGTCACGTAGTCTTGGGCTGAAGCTGGAAGAATCTGAGTCCTTACTGGCGATATACTTTTATGACTTATTAGCCACATGACCTTGAACCCTTCACTTGATCTCTCCATACTTCAGTTTCCTTATCAGTGTTTGCTATTTAGAAATTGGGAAAAGCAAGAGGGAGTAAATGATATGATGTTTATGAATGTGCTTTGGTTGTCCACCAATATTAGAAATTTTGCGTTATCAGTATGCTGTAGCATCAGAATGATCTCACAATCTAGGACATTTTCCCAGGATGATAAGGGCCTACCAAAATATTCTTTAATGTCTCGTGAGCGGCTTTTTTCAGCTTCTATGGAGAGCACAAAAAAGATACGGCTGATGTTGCAGTAGCAGGGTCTGAGATTCAGTTGAAGAATTTCCTGACTCCTGAGGCTTATGGTATGGCAGAAAGTGCTGGGCAGTGGAAAGGACCTTTCTCTGGAGACTTTTAAGGACAAGCAGGGATCTGTCTGTCTGGGTTATGTGGAGGTGAACCAGAGACAAGGCTGGCCACATGGGTTTGGGCTGCTTTTCTGAGCCCAAGGAGAGTGGGCAGGGCTCCTGGGTACTTGCCACCATTCTTTCTCAGCTCAGAGGCTGGTGGCCAGGGCTTACTTTTACAGCTACTATGAATATTCTGCCAGGGAGTTTCTTCTGTAGAAATGGATTCTCACAGACAGGCAAAGGATTTTAATTGTCTCCATCCAGAGGGGTGTGCCCACAGCCAGCTACTTATTTCTTGGACAATAGCTGATCAGGAACAGGAAAGCATTTTGAAAGAGTAAAGTGCTCCCCTCACCTGCCCTACCCTCCCAGTGAAGAATTTCCTCAAGAGTGCTCAGAAAACTATTGTTAACTCAGAAAGCGGGCTATGTGTTGGCCAGAATCCAGGAATGTCAGGTCTTCTTTGGTCTAGACCTATCTCTGGAAAATCCCCTCCCATGTGGAGCCTGTTGACCTGGCTTAGGTAATAATAATAATGATGATGATGATGATTGATGATTATTAATAATGATAACGTAATAATAATGATAATAATACATATATCACATACTGGGCATTATGCTAAACTTGTTACCTTACAACATCTTGTTGTTGTTGTTATGTGCCATCGAGTTGGACCTGACTCATAGTGACCCCTCCTTGGGTTTCCAAGGCAGTATCACTATGGAAGTAGATTGCCCCATCTTCCTTCTGAGGAGTGGCTGGTGGGTTTGAACCGTCAGCCTTCTGGTTAGCAGTCAAATGCCTTAGGCACTATGCTACCAGAGCGAGGTAAATACTATTATTATTGTCCAATAAGGAAGCTAAGCCATCTGATCTGGGTGACAATAATAGCTAATGGAGGAACTGTGCCCTGCACCCAGGTAGTAGGGATCCAGAGCCCATTCCTTCAGCTGATTTACCATTTTGCCACACTTCCTCCTGGCTTCTGTCTGTTGTGGTGTTTCTACGTGGCAGTCCAGGGTAGGTGGGGCTATGAGTTGATGGGTGTGGCCACCTTTGCTGGGGTAGGTGTCCCTGTTCTTTGTGACCAGTATGTCCTCAAAAGCATGGCTCCTAAGTGATTGCTTCCTTTATAGACAACAATGATTAAAAATATAAGCTTCAGGTCACAGAGAGCTAGGCTCAAATTTTGTCTGTGCTTCTTCCTGGGAAGTGTGACCCTGACAAGTCAACTTAGTGTAATTTTCAGTTTTCTTATCTGTAGAAAAGGGGTGATAAAGTCTAACTCACTGAATGAGGTGTAAAAGGCATAAAACCAATGTGAAAAGCAGGATATTCAGTAGGTGCTCAATAAATAATAGCCGTTATTGTTATTATCATAGAGATGCCCCTTGCCCGTCACTCTCAGTTCCTTTTATTATTCATAACTTCAAAATCTGTCAGAATTTCTACTAGGTCTCAGGCTTTGAGTATTCAGAAATGACTCAAGCATGCTCCCTGTGGTACATCATAATTAGGATATAAAAAATACATTGCTGTTCATAGTGGCAAAGAAAGGTAGTGACCATACAGTTATGATTGGGGTCACATTAGCAAAGGGTAACACCCATAGCCCTTGTCTTTTCATTGCCTCTACTGAAACCATCCTTCTCTTCCTATCTTTTCCAGCACTGAGCTGCCCCCAGGGCCAGGTGTACCTGCAGTGTGGGACCCCCTGCAACCTGACCTGTCGCTCCCTCTCTTACCCGGATGAAGAATGCAACGAGCTCTGCCTTGAGGGCTGCTTCTGCCCTCCAGGTCTCTACCTGGATGAGAGTGGGGACTGTGTGCCAAAGGCCCAGTGCCCCTGTTACTATGATGGCGAGATCTTCCAGCCTGAGGATGTCTTCTCAGACCATCACACCATGTGGTAAGTGCCAGCAGCAGCACCAGAGACCTCTAGGATGACAGAGCTGGAAAGGAAAATGGCCCAACAAAGGAAGTAGATTGTCCAGAGAAGCAGAGCTGGGTTTTTACACAAGTCTTCTGACTTCCTTATTGTATGGAGAACTAGAACTCCAGGCTAGCAGTAGGGATTTTTGAGCTTCATTGCCTACTGTCATGTATTGGGCCCCATTTCCTTGCTCTAGGACCTGGTTTCCTTATTCTAGAACAGGAAATGGAAGATCTAGCCCCCATCCCCCTCAGCTTCCTGTTAGTGTTCTCAACCTAAAGCATTTTGAACTAGATGAAAATATATCACAGCAGCATTGGTTTCATGGTACATTAATGCCCTGACTTGCTTCATATGCGTCAGGCATGCAAAATACCTCCAAATCATGCTTACTTCTTGAAGCTCATTGCCTGAGCCCTGGGTAATGGTCACTTTCAGTTTCAGCAGGATGGTCATGGTAACAAAAGAAATTTGCAACACATTTGTTGGGCAACTGCTTACTGGCACCAGGTTCTGGGCTAAGGATTAGTGACAGACTTCCCTGACAGTGTTCTAGGGGAGATCAATTAAAAAGCCCTGGAAACAGAAAATTTTAAGCATAATAAAAGTAGAGAGAGTAGTATACAGCACCCTGATGTACCCCTCACCAACTTCAATGATTACCAGCATTTTGGCATTCTTATTTTATCTATTCCTTCCTAGTTTTGTCTGGGATAGTTTAGAGAAAACCTCAGATATTATACCTTTTAGTAAATACTTCACTATATGAAACAGATAAATACTTCATAATATAGTCATAAATATCATCATTACCCTAAAAATTAACAATACTGTCTTATTAGGATCTAATGTTCAATCCATGTTCCCTTTCTCCAGATTGTCTCAAAATGTCTTTTCATAGTTGGTTTGATAAAATCAAAATCCAAACAAGGTTTTCACATTGCATTTGGTATGAAACTTTTTCTAAACACCCCAGAGAGATTAAAGGAGCTCTGGTAGCACAGTGCTTAAGGCATCTGACTACTAACTAGAAAGTTGGTGGTACAAACCCACCAGCCACTCTGCAGAAGGAAGACTGGGCAATCTACTTCTGTAAAGATTTACCACCTTGGAAACCCAATGGGGTTCACTATGAGTTGAAATCAACTCGATGGCAGTGGGTTTGGTCTGGTTTTGGTTTCCTGAGAGATTAATTCTTAACTTTCTAATGTCATGTATCCAAAGCAGGTGGTTTACTTTCCTATTCAAGCAATTATCTCTATTGGACTTGGATTTCAGTACATTGTGTCTGTGTCTCCTCTCTAGACTGTGAGCTCCCCAAGAGTAGAGATTATAACCTAGGTCCTGATGCCAGTACTTAACACAGGTCTGGCACAAAGTAGGTACTCAATAAGTGCTTGCGAGATGAAAGAACTATAACATCTGTGATACTTGCCATATTCAGCTCCAAGCTCACTGCTATTGAGTCGGATCCGATTCATAGTGACTCCTCCTTGGGTTTCTGAGGCAGTATCACTACAGAAGTAGATTGCCCCATCTTCCTTCCAAGGAGTGGCTGGTGGGTTTGAACTGTAGGAACAAAAAAACCCCTCATTCAGAAAAGGAAAGAATTGCTTCCATTTGGGAGAAATTAGGGAATGCTCCATGGAGGGGGTAACTTCCAAACTCAGGAAAGATTCCCACAGCAGAGGTGGGTACAATGATGGGATGAGGGTTTTCTAGGTAGAACAGGGGCCCAGAGACAAAAACACATAAGGAGTGTTCAATATACTGTAAGGTAAGTCTTCTGGTGGGACCATATGTTGTATGAAGGAAAGATAAGACTAAAGGGAAGTTGGGACCAGGTTCAGTGTTCTTTGAAAGTTAGAGTTGGGACTGATGCTTAAGCAGCAGGTCGTGGGAGCCACTGGAAAGTTTTGGGCAGGGAGAAAACAGGATCAAAGTATAGCTTTAGGGAGTGGACTCTGGACACCAAATGAAGTGTGTAGGCAGGGAGGCCAGTTAGGAAGAGGTTGAAGCAGATTGGTCAAAGGTAGTAAGGCCCTGGACCGAGTAATAGTAATGGCAATGGAGAGTAGGGCAAAAAAGCTAGAGACACTGGGGAAGTAAACAGACAATTGAGATGTTTGGTAGGAAGAGGTATTAGTGAAGATGGCTTTTCATCTTGAACTTGAGTGCCTGAGAGGAGAGAGATGCCAGGAGCAGCAAGAGGGCTCTCCTGGGGCAAAGCAAGAATGATATGGTATTTAGATTTTGCCTTAATGGTTTTGAATTACCAAGAGGGCATGATGGTGAATGAATGGGGCCAAAAGCTTGAATGACGAGTTTGGAACATGAGTGAAAGATTTGATTGAAAAGATTTGTATGGAGGTAGCAGTTATAGCCAGGAGAGTAGCCAGGCTTGCTAAGGGGAGTGAAATGAAGAGCAGAAAAGAGGACGAGTCCAGAACTTTTGTGAATGGTCAGAGGGGCAGGGAAGGAGAAAGAGGTTCTTGTGAGAGAGGCCAAAGAAAAAGGCCAGTGAGAAGAACAGCACTAGGACAGTGCTGGGAGCTCTGGTGGTATAGTGCCTAAGGCATTTGAGGCTAACCAGAAGTCTGGTGGTTCAAACCCACCAACCACTCCTCGGAAGGAAGGTTGGGCAATCTACTTCCATAGCGATACTGCCTCGGAAACCCAAGGAGGGGTTGCTCTGAGTTGGATCCGACTCGACGGCAGTGAGTGAGTTTTGAGGACAGTGCTATTATGAAAGTTAGGGCGAGAAGGGAGTAATCACATCTTTTTTTTTTTTTTTTGGCACCCACCTCTCCTCCCTCCCAGTAATCACATCTTTTGTTGGTTTAATCTTCTGGTCTTTGTCCAGTGGTTGTATTATTATAGCTGTGTGGCTGCACTTTTCCAAGTGTTTCTCTCTGGGACCTTAAAACAACATTGTGAAGCAGGCAGGGCTTGCTTTTTTAGTAAGGAATTTGAGGCTTAGAGAGATTATTACTTTCCCAAAGTCATTCAGCAAGTGGCTGGAACCCAGGGACTCTTGAACCAATGCTCTTTTCCTATCCCATTGAGAACAGGCTGTTGAATTTAGTAATCAGAAGGCCATCATGGCCCCCATGTTTCACCAGTGTGGTATGGAAAGAAGCCAGAATGTAGGAAGCTAGGGTGACTTGGAGGGCAGCAAGTGTCACTGGTCATTTTACCATATCAGTGGTACAGGGAAGGTGAGAGATGGGGGGCAGCAGCTTCTTTTTCACAGTTAGTTCACTGGTTACTTTCATGATTGTGTCCTGTTTTGGTGTCTCCCCTTCCTGCTCCAGCGCTGAAAGTGATGGACCATCCCATCTCTGCCCTTCATTTAGAAAATTAGATTTCTTGGAGAATGTGTGCCAGGGGGAGCTCAAGGCTTGTTTTTATTTGTAATTCTTTAGACAATTCACCATAGAATGAGCCCCTCTAGGGCAAATGCTGGTGATGCCCATAAAAGGGCAGTAGCTTTTTGTCGTCAAGTTGATTCTGACTCATATATGTCAGAGTAGAGCTTCACTCTGCTCTGGGATTTCAGTGGCTGTGATCTTGTGGAAGTAGATCAGCAGGTCTTTCTTCCATGTTGCTGGGTGGATTTAAAGTGCCAGGTCACTGCTTGGTTAAGTTACTCTGGTTCTCTTCCAGAGTCCTATACAGGTAGGACCCGTCTTGTATTGCTCATGGCCCTCACAGATAGAGAGATATGGATATGAATTTCAGAGATACTTAGAGAAGGTAAAGTCTTGGTAATGTATCATATACAGTGAGGGAGGGAGGGGAGTGCCAGGGATGATCCCTGGGTTCCTAGTTCGTGAAAATAGATGCATGATGGTATTATGCAATAAATTCAAGCCCTGAAAGAAGACTTTGTGGAAGACATAATGAGTTTAGTTTTAAACATACTGAGTTTGAGATGTCTTTGAGACACCAAAGGTGGCTATTATGTAAACTTTGGCTATATAGGTCTGATGTTCAGAGGAGAGGTCTGAGCTGCTGATGTAAATTTATGAGTCATTTCTATAATTGAAGCTGGGGATGTGGATGACAGCATGGTGTGAGAAGAAGAGAGAGAACCTAGGATGGACCTTGGGAATGCTAACATTTAAAGGCCAGGCAGAGGGGAGTGAGCTACTGTTGAAGTTAAGAAGGCAACCAGGAAAGTAGGAGGAAAACCAGGAGAATTAACAGTGATGAATAATGTTGAAGGGGATCCAGAGGGCAAGAACTGAAAAAATTTCCATTGTTTTTAGTGACATGAAGGCCATTCATGATTGAGAACTTGATTAGAGAGGGTGGAGAGTGGGAGGTAAGGAAATAGCGATAGCAGGTGAAGACAACTCTTGCAAAGTTGGGCTGAGATTTTTCTCTTTGTAGCTATTGTGAGGATGGCTTCATGCACTGTACCATGAGTGGACTCCCGGGAAATCTGTTGCCAGACATCCTCAGCAGTCCCCTGTCTCACCGCAGTGAGTATTTTACCCTTGGCAAGGCTCTCTGCCTCCCTCTTCCCAGACTTTGAACCTGTGAAGTGGGAGAAAAGCTAGGCTGCACTATCTGTGCAGTGAACATTCACGCATGGGTTTGGCTTCCTCTAGGTTTGTCTCAGTTTCTGTTTACATGTGAATGATGTTCAGGCCTAGGCACGTCTTTGCATGTGTAAATCCAAACTATTGAACAAGAAATATTTTATTTTGGGAAGGTAAAAGACTGAGTCATCTATAAGACAGATTCAATGAGACCTCTGTTTTGCTCATAGTGACCTAACCCAATGAACACCTGTGAGTTGCCTTACTTGTGATGAAAATCACCCTCCTTAAATGGCCTGGATCTTTTTTCCTATGGAAATGCTGATGAGGATATCTCTTTAGAAAGCTTCTCATATAAAAGAAGGGTTTGGGCCAATTGCTTTTAGCTGAAGGTCTTAATAGTTGCTGTACTAGTTAAGGACATGTCACAAAAGGGAGAAGGGGGAGAAGGAGCTGACCCAGTGCTAGTAGGACCATATTCATGTTTATAGATCATATGGGTCTTACTTGCTTCCTTATTTGCTCCTTGCTTAGAAAGGACTCTTACGCTAAGAGAGTGGTGCCTTTAGGCAGATAGTTGGGCTATTTTCAACACCAGGTTCACCTCATCTCTCTTTATGCCTCTCTTTCCATGACACACACTCTGTCTCCAAGTGACCAGCCATGTTGCTTGTTTCTCAGGTTGTCCTGGGTGAGACATTTGCTGTCCTGGGTGACTGAGTGAGGAGCATCTCTCAGCCTAGAGTGGGAGCAAGATCCCAAGCATGTGGGTGGATCACAGGTTGAAATCAGAACTTGTGACCCCATGATCACCAAATTCTTCTGCCTATTGCCTTCTGTTGCCTTCCATCTTGTTGCATTCCCTCTCTAGACCAGTCTTTAATGCTTTTTTGCCTCTTGTTGAATGTCTTCCAGTCTAGTCCCTGGATGGTATTATCTTTTTCAAAGTCAAGAAACTTCTAGAATTCTGTGCAGATTTGGAAAATTCATTCAGCCTTTTGGAGTTCCAGCTTCCTAACTTATGGAAGGTCAGAAATTCTAGATTGCCCACAGGAAGTAGTAAGTGATTGAAATGATGCTAAGCACCCTGGGATATTGAAAGAAGGGTGCTGTCTCAATCTTCCACTGTCATAATTTATTCAGTCCACTGTGTATACTAACTGTCAGAAAATGTGATTGACCAATGAGCAAAGTAGGTAAAAATACCTGTCTTCATGTTGTAAATGTACTAATGGAGAGGAGAGAGACAGACAATCAACAAATAAATAAGTAAAATATATAGTATGTCAGATGGTGTTATGTGTTCCAGAGAAAAACAAAGAGAGAGGGAAGGTAGGAGTGTTAGACGGGGGAATGAGATGTCACCATTTTTAAGTAGAGTGGCTGTGGAGGGCCTCCCAGAGAGGATGAAATTTGAGCAAAGACCTCTTTAAAGTCTTTGTGGCTGAATAACTTTCTCTTTCTACAGTAGTTATAACCTTTTAGGAATAGTCCTGTTGGGTTCCACTAAAAATCCTTTTTATCTTAAGTCTGAACATTTCTGCAGTGTATCCTGGTTCAATGCATCCTACGTCAGTAGGATCAAGGGCGATGAAGAGTGGGGACATCAGACAAATGCTGGGATTGGGAGGGTCACCATTAGTGTATGCCAAACGTCAGAAGCTCAGACAAGTAGTTGAGGCTGCCTTCCCTGTCCACTCAGGGCTAGATTCAGCCAAAGTTCAGCCAATGCCTCATCTCAGGGTGTGGGCAGCTCCGAGAGTCTTAAATTGAGTGACTGCACCAAGGGGACTGTCTTAGTTGTTTAGTGCTGCCATATCAGAAATACTACAAGTGGACGGCTTTAACAAACAGAAATTTAATCTCTCATGGTTTAGGAGGCTAGAAGTCTGAGTTAGCTTTCTGACTTATGGAAAGTCAGAAATTTTAGCTTGCCCACAGGAAGTAGTAAGTGATCTAAATGATGCTAAGCACCCTGGGATTTTGAAAGAAGGGTGCTGCTCCATCTTCCACTGTCACCATTTATTCAGTCCACTGTGTGGTGGCTCTAGGGAAAGTCTTTCTCTGTCTGTGTCTCTTGGTCCTAGAAGAATCCCAGAGCAAGGACCCTTAGTCCAAAGGACACACTCCACTCCTGTCTCCTCTTTCTTGGTGGTAGTAGGTCCTCCCTCTCTCTGCTCCCTTCTCTCTCCTTTTATCTCTTGTAAGATCAAAGGTGTTGTATGTTACATACCAGAGAAGTGACCTTTACATCAGATCAAGGGTGTGATGGGACTTTGAATCACTTCAGTTTGGTCATCCCACCCTTCAATCCTCTTAAACCTGATTGGCTTATCACATCAGATGACATCATGGGGTATCATTACATATCTGCCACATTACATCATTACCTAACTGCTAAACCATTGAGAACCAGGACCCAGTCATGGTTGATACAAGTTTTGGGGGGGGGGGCCACAATTCAGTCCATGCTAGGGACCAAAGGACAGTATCATAGATCGATTTACTCCTTCACTCATCACTTCTTTGATTTTCCTACCTCCAAGGCAAAAGGAGCCTATCCTGCCGGCCTCCCATGGTCAAGTTGTTGTGTCCCGCTGACAACCCACGGGCTGAAGGACTTGAGTGTGCCAAAACCTGCCAGAACTACGACCTGGAGTGCATGAGTACAGGCTGCGTTTCTGGCTGCCTCTGCCCCCCAGGCATGGTAAGATGGTAGCCACCCCATAGCCACAAAATGTTGGCAACCTTCCCTTCCATTTTCCTACAGAGTAGGATGAGTGAGGTGGGCTCTGGAGCCAGGGAGAAGAAGAAATAAGAGCTAAACAAGTAATGGGGTGGGGGGTGGTGGTGAAGGGGGGAAGAGGTTGGGGAGAGTCCTCTGAGGCACAGTTTGTTGCCAAAGTCAGGGAGAGAGCTGGTAGGAAAATATCTGGGGTTGATCCTGATGAGATCTGACAAGTATGTAAGAATTTAGCTCACAGGGGTGCTAAATGTAGCAATGAAATTTTTTCCAGAAAATACTTGCAAATAGGAGCAGGCATTTCCACTAGAATTTTCCAGCACCACCATATGCGTATAACTTTCTCATTCAAGAGAAGACATTGATGTCCCAGCCATTCTACTAATAAGGCACAGGCCCAACAAGTCGCTTCTCCACACAGCCTTATTTCCATCAGTAAAGGGAGTTGTGAAGTCCTGGACAGCTCTGAGCATTCCATGCTTCTGGGGCTGGGGCAGCTCTCACAGTGTGTGGCCAGCAGTTCCTCGGAGCCATGTACAGTCCACGACTATGCTGGTTTGCAGCCATCTGGCTCTTTTGTGCATTCTACAGGGTTGTGCTGAGGTGAGGTTCCAAGTATGCAGAGTTTTCTTACCTTCAGGACTTTGAACCAGTTCAGTTCAGTCATGGCTTGCAGAAACAAGGGCTGCTACACATTGCATAGCAATCAAATTTTTTGACCCAAGTAGAGAACAGGCAGCAATGCCCCACTTAAAGATGGTGTTTGAGCATGCCTCTTTGCATGTGTATTGGCTGCCATCTTTAAGCTGAGCACTGCTGCTGGTTTCCTACTTGGGTCAAAATCTGACGCACATGAGATTTGGTTGCTATGCAGTCTGTATACTTGCCTTATTTCTTTTGGACATGAGTGAACCATTTTGAACCAATTTGAAGCTCTGTTTACTTCTCTCAAGTCTAATCTTAGGCTGGTTTTATATTAAATATATTATACTTGTGACCCAGAAGGATGCAACTTCTGGACTTTTCTCTTTCAAATGCTTCTCGCTTTCTTGCTTTCCCTGATTCCAACTCCTCATACTCAAAGTGAGTGGTGAGAGGTTGGGGTGGGGGTTGTAGAGGCCAGGATGGGAGAGGGCAGGTGTCTCTCACAAGGCTGAGGAAGGACATTAATGATGCTGAGGCCTTGGCTTGAGGGGCAGTGCCCTGGGCTGTGGGAACTGTCATGTTCTGTAGGGAGAACTTTGGCCCATCACTGTCCCTTAGGAAGGCTGGGATTGGGGTTTGTGCAGGGCAGATCCTCTATCTACTTTCCTTCCAACACTTTGTCTTCCAAAACAGAGAGACTAGCTCGTATTAATTCTATCTGAGGGCTGCCCTGCCTTGGCCTTTGAGGATTCTGGAAATGTCTTTGGTAATAGGGGAGCTAGAAATTGGCCTGTTAGCATCCCCCAACCTGAAGGCCTTGCTTGGTACCTTAGCAGAAGGTGGAACTCAAGAAAGGTATAGAGGGGAACTCAGGAAGAGAAGGAGAAGCTTCTTTATGGTTCTTTTTATTCCCAGGCCTCTTATTTTGAGTGTCTCAGAGATTTTGGGGGACATAGCTCACCTTCCCTTCACCATATTATCTGGAGGAGAAATTCTCCTGACAATAGAGAAGACTCAGGCAAGGAAAGATATCACTCAGGAGATTATGTCAGCATCAGGGACCCCTTAAAATAAAATTTTCTTTTCAATGAAGGAAGAACAAAAATATTCTTAAATATTACTAACCACAATAATTGCATTGTTGTCCTAAGTCCCAAGAGGAGCGCTAGCCCCGAAGTCTAGGATGTGGTTCTGCCATAAGGACCTCATTTGGCATTCCTCTGGCTGCATTCTGAAGACCTGTCATAGAACAAGGTGATGCTCACCTCGACAGCAGGGAATTACAATGAACTCAAAAGCTCATATTGCAGGAGATTGGGTTATTTTCACAACTGCTTCATTGTGATGCTGACAAATGTGCAAATTGTTGAGGCCAGATTTGGCTGCACAGAAAAGGCCGTGTAATTTATTAAGTGCATGGAGTGTGCTGGCTGCAGCGTAGGACATGTGTTCTTGGCCACAGTGCAAACAAAATGGGGCTGGAAACACCCTCTTCAGGCCCATCTAATGGTGCAGACATTATACTCAGGGGCATTTCTCTGTTCTGCTTGTCCCCTGGGTGAAATAGTAAAATTTTGGTCTGTTACCAAGAGTGTGGGGGGAAGGGGTCAGGGATTCTTTACATTGAGGATTATAAAGGGGAGGGAAGTAGCGCTTTCCTGGGGCCAGCTCTACTGAGAGCAGAAAGAGCCCCCCCCCCACCACCACCCCCAGGAGTCAGAGTTGGAGGGCTGTGCTGTCCATCTAGGTTTCACAACTTTCTGGCTAAGTGATCTTGCACAATCACTCATTCTTTCTCCAAATCTCAGTCTCCTCATCTGTAACATGGCCTGCATCATTCCTGTTCTGCCTTCAGCCCTTGTTGGCTGTGGGCACAAAGGAGATGAATATGCAAGCATATAGAATAGAACGCTACAGGAGCGTAAGAAATCACTTTACTTTTTTATAAATAATCAAGGCTGAGACTCAGAGGCTTCTATCAACATCCCTCCTGTGCACATGATAGGCTGGTAAAGGACTGGTTTTCTTGTTTCCAGTCTATTGTGGGCCAGTGCTTTAGTAAATACAGTAAAATGAATTGTCTGAAAAACGAAATGGAAAGCAATGATATACAAAATACGAGTCCTCTCCTTGATTTTTCTTATTAGATACAATAGACATGATATCACTCTGTCAAATTGCCATCACGTTTCCTAAACATTCTCAATTCTTGTTGCCATATCATCATGGAGCAGCCTGAGTTCATGGCTCACACCGTGAACAGTGTTAATCTAGGCTGATAATTGCTTCTTCTTCCTTCAGGCCAATGCTCAATGTCCATTTTAAGCTCAGCAGCACCTGTTTGTGACTTGGCCCAGGCTTGACATCTGATCAGAGCAGAGGTTTCTGGTTCATCTCACAAGCTGAGACCCTGTCTGCTTCTGCTACAGTTGCAAAGGCCTCTCTGTATATAATGAGGAGAATGGGGCTGCAAAAACAGCAAGGAGGCCACATGTTCTGACCTCCTCTAATCCCACAAGAGGAAGGCAGAATCACCATCAATAGCACAAGGCCTTTTACTGCAAGTCCAGACATGCTGCCTCCCTCCAGCCCTTTCACCAACCGTTCCTCCCAAAGCACCCACCACCTCTCTCCTGGGTTCGATAATTCACTGCAGTGGCCACACAGAACTCACAGATTATGGAATTTATTAGGGAAGCACCAGGCTACAATTCAAGTTCAGCAAAAACGTTCAGTCTCTCTCCCAGCCCACCGTCTCTCAGCCAAGTCTCTCACAGTCTCTCCCCCAGGAGTGCATGTCCTTCGGTGTCTTACTCAGCAACACATGTCTCTTGCATCTCTTTCCCAGCAGCACATGTCTCTTTCCAGGGCACGTGTCTCTTTCAGCAGCATGTCCTCCTCAACCAGCAGTCAGAGAGAGTTCTGCCTCTAGGAGGCCTCCTTTTGAGCTTGGCAGAGTGGCCGAACCAACCAATCATAACAACAGAATTCTAAGCACCTGAGCGTGAGCCTCCCATAACATTGCATTGTGCCACACCCAACAGAAAAGCCCAGGTAGATAACATTTACAATCGGGAGCTCCTCAGTTGCTCATTCCACCACTGAGTTTACAATGACTTATGGGTAGAAAAGCCATACTAAGTAATTTACTACACTGCAGGGGCTTTTGAAAAGTGGTCAGCATCATAATAAAAGTTGGGTAAGATACTGTGTGGACAAGGCATGGTTTCTGATGTTTACCTAAAACCCAAAAACCATGGCGTCTTAATTTTCTCAACTATAAAATTGGATTGCAAGGGTTGCTGTGAAGACTGAAGAGGACAGAGGCAAGCACATGGAAGGATTAGTAACCACTAGGTCTCTGGGTAAGGAGCTCTGGTGGTGCACTGGTTAATGCATTTGGCTGTTGACCAGAAGATCAGTGGTTCAAACCCACTAGATGCTCTGTGGAAGAAAGAGGAGGCAGTCTGCTTCCATAAAGATTTACAGCCTTGGAAACCCAGTGGGGGTCACTATGTGTTGGAATTGACTCGATGACAGTGTGTTTAGTTTTTGTTTAGGTCTCTGAGTAGCACAAACAGTTTGCACTTAACTACTAACCTAAAGGTTGGTAGTTTGAACCCGCATGGTGGCACCATGGAAAAAAGGCCTGGTTATATGCTTCCATTAAAATTAAACCAAAACCAAAAACTAAACTCATTGCCATCAAGTTGATTTAACTTATAGCAACCCCTCTTTGGGTTTCTGAGGTGGTGTCTCCACAGAAGTAGATTGCCCAATCTTCCTTCCGAGGAGTGCCTGGTGGATTGGAACCGCCAGCCTTCTGGTAAGCAGTCAAATATCTTAAATACTACACCACCATTAAAATTACAGCCATGAAAACACTATAGAACAGTTATACTCTGTAACACATGGGGTCGCCATGAGTCAGAACTGACTCAATGGCCATAGATTTCTTTTTTAGTAATTGCTATTCTTTTAAGTTTGGAAGGAAAACCACGAGTCATATTAAGAACAGAGAAGCTATAGGAAATTATCCAGCATGCCCTAGGAGCAACTTTGCAGACCCCAGTTTTAGATTCTGAGGTTAATAAAATAAGGTGGTTGAACTAGATTTCTCAAGTCTTTTTGTATAATTCAAAAAAACTTGGGTGAACTTACCTGAAGCACCTCTCCTTTAAGTTAGAATATTAACAGTTTCCACTAGGTGGCAGCAAAGCACAACCCACTGCACATTGTCAGGGCCTCTAGATCCTGGCCTGAGTAGTTCTATTCAGAGCATCCTAGAGTGCAAAGCTAGAAGGAAACCTTGGGATCTCCTCTTTCACTCTGTTATATCACACATGAGGAGACTGAGGAAAGATAGAAAACAGAACCATGGTGCATAGTTATTTACTGGGAACTCTGATCTCCTTTTCCTAGACCTAGATAAAAGAGCATTGGCTCTTTTATCTCTACTGTCTGCCTCCTGGATTAGGCCACTAGATGCTCAAATATTTGGGTCTCTGGGGAAAGGGTAGTATGGCTCTCTGGGAGACACTACTCCCCCTCTGAAATCTATTGGTACCCTGTTCTGGAGATTTTAGTATTCCTCTTGGGACCTGGGAAGGAAGTGTGTTATGTCTGTGTCATTTTGGTTTTCTCACTGGCCCAATGAGGAGACTGGAAAGACTTTGGTGTTGTTTTTTAACCTAGAGCTTGGGTTCAGGGATCTATCCAGAGTGGGCTTCACATGTGGGCATTGTAAATCCTGTGAATGTAATTTTAAGAGGTCCAAGAAAGCCCTCCTGTTTCAAACTATCTCTTGCACTTGCCACAATTTGTCACCTAATCAGACTTACTGAAATATAATTACCATAGATTCATTTTGGTTAATATGCAAGGTTTTTTTTTTTTTTTTAAATCTTAAAAAAATCATTTACCTTTGAGTCAGCTCTCGGTTTTCAATGGCTGATTTTTTCTGAAGTAGATTGTCAGCCCTTTCTTTGGAGGGACCTCTGGGTGGAGTCAAACCTCTAACCTTCCATTCGCAGCCAAGCACATTAACCATTCACACCACGCAGGCACTCCCAAAGTTTATAAGGTCATAAACCCTCATGAGAAGAATTGTTCACACTGGACAGTGAGTTATTTAATCAGATTTCTTTTTTTCTAGTTGAAATCAGCTGTGAGCTGGAAGTATTGATGGGATAGGGGTACAAACTAGGAACGCTGGAAGGCAGAAATTATTTTGGAGGATGGGTCATATTGAGTCTGGGGGTGACACTGGGGGAAGACTGGAGCTGCCTCCTCTGAGAAGCAGCAATTTCTTTCCCCACTTCATAATTTTTCTTGGGGCTGATCATGATCTAGGACCATGGTCTCAGCTTTAGCCACTCTTACTCAAGATGTCATGAGTTAGTGAACAATGGTAACCAATATTACTGCCATGTTTTCTTCTGAAGTCTTCATCAGGTTAAGTGTATTCTTAAGTCTTCTGAAGGACATTACAGACTTTGTGTTTTTATCCTTTAGGTCTTCCAAAGGGACAAACCCTAGGGAAATTCTTCTCTTCATCTTAAGTGTGAGCCTCAAGTTCAGTTGGGTACTGCTGTACTATCTTATGTTCTCTCCATGACCAGTCCACATCTGACCCTAGTCGTTTCTTGCACTAAGGCTTTCTCTTTCTATCTCCATGAATTTCTTAATGTGTCGGGATTCTCTGGGCTGGGCTGGTGTTATTTCATCTTTTCTCCCAAGTCAGGAAGCCTCATGCTGAAGTGGGGATTGAAACCACCCCCACCTTTTTAAAAGTGATTAATAATGATTTCTACATTTAGTTTTATTGTTATATGTTTATAGACATTGATAATCAAGCTTGTACTGATCTCCTGTTCTGAAGACAGTCTTACTCTGCAGCTGGGTATTTCTTACCCTATCTGGAGTCTGTGCCATCTGATATTATGTCTGCCATTTTTTTTTCTTTCCTCTTGCAAAGCATTGTTTTCTTTCTGCACTGTTTGTTTCCAGCCTCCATTCATGACGTGAATCTCTCCCTGCTTTTCACCTTAAGCTATGCGCTGGCTCTGAAAGTGGTTCTTTTCTGTTTTTTTCTTCCCCGGTTCATAGTGTTGTTGTGTGCTGTCGAGTTGAGTCCAACTTACAGAGATCCCTTGTGATGGAGTAGAACTGCCCCTTTCCTCTCCCTTTAAGGTTATACTTTGTCTCCTCTCCAGCTCTGACTTGCTGATCTAATCCACACCACTGGTGCCTTTATTATAGCAGTCCTCATTTAATATCAAGGTCCTATTTTAATATTGCAATCTATCAATTAATAATCTCCTCTTACTAAAGTTAGGGCAGATTAGTCAAATTTAGTGAGATCATGTGGTTTGTCAGCAGGAGGGGGAGGAGGTCATGGCTGTGGTGGTCTTGGCTGTTGTGGTGGCAGTGCAGTGGTGGCAGTGTCACCTCATGGCCAAGTGGAGGTTTAAGTTTAATGCCTATCTGAGGAGGTCTGGGTTTCCTTGGAGTTGCATCTGGGCAAGGGGAAGGGCTGCCTGGGCCATGGATGTGGACTTTTTGTCAGTGGGTTGAAGATCCTCTAGAGAGGTTTTAGAGCCCTCAACCCATCCTGCTAGAAGGTCAGAGGAAGCACCATGTTCTTCCGAGATGAGGAGGGCTCACTTTCCTGGAATCCACCCTATGTATCATTTTGTCTCAGGTAATGCTTATTGCTGGAATGGTCTCCGTTAACCATAAGAGTGAGTGCTGGAGAGCACAGCAAGGCTTCCCAGCTGAATGCAACAGTCATTCTGACAGAAGCCACCAGGTGGCAGGCCTCAGAGTTAAGTCAGAGCTGACAAAGCTTGAGGGGGTGGGATGTGAGCACTAATTGTGACAGAGCCTTTGAAGACTTGAACAGAGAGACATTTTCTGGCCATTTCTGGTTCCTGTCTATCTGCCATCTCCCCTACTGGGCAGCTAAGCTCATTGGCAGGAGGTAAGAGCCAGGAGGAATGTGGTTGGCCTGCATCTTCCTTGCCCCCTGCACTTCCATACTGCATTATCACTTAGACTTTAAGGGAACTTGGGGCTATCTTCAGACATTGGGTGAAGGTGGTTTTTAAGTTGTAGACATTCTTTTTCTTATCATCAGCTCCCTTAACACATACCATGCACACACACATACGCACATGGACACACACACAAACGTTGGAATTTAGCCTATCATCCTTGACACACAAGCCCTTTGCTCAATCCGAGACTCTCTGTTCCTAGGGCTTTGTCTAATTCCAAGCCCTGGGAACTCAGGCTTGTCTGGGGAGTGACTGGATTACATTGGTCCTGAGTTTTTGCCCCACAGGTAACTGTAGAGCCAAAGTGGCTTAGTTCGTTCATCTTGGGGTGACTCAGGGTTCCTTTAGATCCCCCAAGGTTAGGCCAATCCAGAATTTGCCATCTGGAGCTGAGACAGAATGTATGTACATCTTGGGGTCAGAGTGAGTTTGGCCAGTTCTTCCTGAGTCCATTGAAGCTGGTGGTTGTTAATTCTTACCTCCTCCACTCTTACCCCATCCCCAACAGACCGAGGAGTGTAACATGCTCACATAAGTAACCTTTTAATGGGTGGAGGACAGGAAGCACAGCATGTCCCCATGGAGGGGGGTGTAGTTGAGTATCATGGGATTGGGTGAGGAGGCAGCATGTATGGCTTGAAAAAGCTCCAGCTACTGGTCTGGTACCAGTAAACCAGTTGTTGTCAAGTTGATCCCAACTCATGGGACCTTATGTGTGTCACAGTAGACTGTGCTTCATGGGGTTTTCATAGGCTGATTTTTTTTTTGAAGTAGATCTTCTGAGGTGCCTTTGAGTGGGCTTGAACTGCTACCCTTTTGGTTACTGGCAGAGCGTGTTAACCATTTGCACCACCTAGCAATTCTAATTGTAATATTCAGCTCTCAACCCAGGGTATTAAGTGCACTATAGTTTTATTAAGTATGTTGTTCATTTTATTCAATTATAAACATAATACATCCTCACTGAAGACCACTTGGAAAAAAAGTTTTTTAAGGTAAAAAAAAAAAAAATTTCCTCACTTCCCAATCCCAGCAGCATACCATTTAGGGAAAACTTTTCTATTTCCTACTAGTCTTATGAAAAAAAAAAAACCTACACACACACACACACACACGTATACACACACACATATATATACATATATAGATAGTGTTTTATAACTAGGACCATATATGTGTGTGTGTATGTGTATGTACGTGAATCTGTGTGTATTTGTGTGGATATATATACATACGTACACATATATAGCTTTCTTCTTTGACAAATTAACAACACAAATATTTCCCACATTACAATTCTTCCAAAGGGCCATTCCAGTATCTCCACTAATCCCATCACATTGAGGCTCCATAATGGATTTAATCATTTTTTTTTGGTTGTTTCTAATTTTTTTGCATTGCTAAATAAGTCTAATCTTTGTCCATATCTCTAAGTATTTCCTTTGGAAAAACCCTCTGAGTGGTATTACTGGGTGTAAGGATATACATAAGGACCTCTGGTGGCATGACGGTTAAGCACTTGGCTGCTAGCTGACAGGTTGTTGGTTCAGACCCGCTCAGTGGCTCTGCAGAAGAAGGATGTGGTGATCTGCTCCTGTAAACATTACAGCTTACAAAACCCTATGCAGTAGTTCCACTCTGTCATGTGTAGTCCCTATGAGTTGGAATGGACTCAGTGGCACCCAGCGACAAGGATATGCTCCTCAAGGGAGTCCTCACCCATGCTACTGAAGTGTTTTCACAAAGGTGTGCTGAGTTCACTGCCCCAGTGGGGGCTGAGAGGGAGAAAGTAGGCAGACTTTCAGTATAGATAGGAGTCCATGCTCACAAGCCCCGGTCTGGCATGGGCTCCCTGTCCAGGGCTGGCCTGTGGCCGAGGTGGTTCCCTTGGCTCAGTCCTGAACCTGAGACTGGCTTCCCTGTTGGGCTCAAGCCCCACATGATGCATCCCTAGAGGGGCTTTAGATCATTCGCTATGGCTTCCACGGCTTTTGGGTTCTTTTCCATTAGGTCCGACATGAAAACAGATGCGTGGCCCTGGAAAGGTGTCCCTGCTTCCACCAGGGTAAAGCGTACGCTCCAGGAGATACGGTGTCGATTGACTGCAACACTTGGTGAGGGTCTGGGAGAGG